GCTCCAGATTTTCAAACTTACGTGGAGTGCATGAGAGCCATGTCTAAGTCCCGCTCTGGGAGATCAGCTTCCCAGTCAAGCACATTATCTAAAAGCAAGCCACCACGACATGCACGAACTCGTCCATCCTCACCAGAGCGACACCTGCCACCACAAGGCTTTTGACCCACGGTCTCCGCCGCTGTTTTGCGCACGAATTGGCGCCTGCATTTGTTGCATTGATCCACAAACATATTGCCGTGGAGCTCAGCTAAGAGATGTCGTGATAACCCTGACTTCAAATGCAGTCCATCGATGTTTTGACTGACAATGTATCGCACATAACCATGCTGTGTTAGCGCTCGCAACGCCATATGTGTTTTTGTTGGTTTTGCGTGGTTAAAAGATACATTTATGGTAGGTTTTTCACCTTTTTCCTCCAATGTCCACACACCTTTCGGACCTCTGCAAAATCTTTAAACTCCCTTATTTGTAAGAAAAATAATCTATCGGGCTTACCGGAAATCGGGTATTCCAGCGCTGGTGCTTACACCTGCGCCTGTATGTACTACGATACGTCCACGTCCGGCTAACATCCAATCTACTAGTTCGGCGCATTTCTTCTCGACTGTTTCGGGACTATCAAATTGCTATTTCAAAGAATGCAGACCTAGTAAATAGTTTCATATTAGATTTTAACCTACCTCTGGTAAACCTAAAATGCCTTTGTTTTCATATGGCGATAAACCATCCGCGTAATTGCAGCTCATGTTTTTCTTCAAATTAAAATTAACCAGGGCTAAGGAACTTTTTGCTACAATAAAAAAACGGAGGAAAATGTCTACCGAATTTTGAATAATGGCACCTTTTCTAGAGCTGTAGAATAAATAGTCGATGTTTTAATGGATTTGTTATTTTTGTCGTCATCGATAGTTCTTCACACTATGGGCACTGTCACACGGTCAGTATTTATTGACGTGATCCATGATTCAATAATAGGTGCGTTCGTTTAAAATCTCCAGCAGAAACCAACCAACTGCCAAATTCCGGCGAAATGTCATCTGTTCGCTCACAAGAGAGAAATATCCAAAATAGTACGCGAACAGAAAATTTGCAGAAACTTGCAAGTTAGACGAACAGCTGATATAATTTTTGTTTACATTCAAAAGTGTAAAATTTAAAACGTACGAAAAGTTATCACAAAGTGTTATACTGACACAATTATTGATTAAACAAGATTTCTTACAAGTTTAATTAGTCGCATTTTGTAATTTTTAACTTCCAAACCATCAAATTCAATTTTGTGATTTACGTAAATGCCAACCAGCTGTTTTTGATCAGCTGTTTTCCTGTTGGCAAATTGCTGTTGGCAAACATTTTTCCAGCAGAAACCAGCAGCTTCCCCTCAAAATGAAATGTCACTTTGCTCTCTCAATTTCCCCAACTTTGCAAGTTTTTTGCGTACGCGAACGCAAAAACTTGTAAGTTTTGGTTAAACATGAACAATTAACAGCTACGCGAACGAACCTAATACAAGGTCAAGAATGATAGAATACAAGATTGCGCCAATCGAGCTGAGAGCAACTGGCCGTGACGTCAATAAATACTAGAATGAGAGAGCAAGACGAACTCGACAAGAAAAAGAGGAAGCATCGACCAAAAGGCAGTGTTGCCAAGTTTTGACTTTGAAAAATCACCAAATTTTTATTGGTGTATTTTATGGACTATGTATGAATACATAATTTTATTGTAAGGATGCCGATTCAAAAATCAATGTTTTTTGCACAACGGTCGATTTCTTCTGGCATGATTGAAGGTGCTGCCACATATTTCTTTGTCACTTATGATTGTCACTGTGCCATGATTTTGTTTAAATTCTTGTAAAATTGCTTACCACACTTTCGATTGCTATACATTTTTCTTCAATTTTTTTGAGATTTTCTAATTTGGTGTCTTCAAACTAAAAACAAAAGCACCAAAAACGCACCAAGCACAAAAGTCAAAAATTTTCGCGTTTTGAATACCCACTAAATTTGGTGCGAAAAGCATGAAGTTGGCAACAGTGAATGTAAACAAAAGTATTTTATGACGTCAGCGATTGGGTGGATGCTGTCAAATCGACGAAGAGAGGGTTAGCGGTCCGCGAATGGCGCGACCTTTATTTTCTGGATCGTGATACAAGGTTAGATAATTATTGACTGCCGCGGTTTGACACTCCCTTACAAAAGGTTGCATTTTCGAAGGACGGAGAAAGGGGAAGAATAAAATCCCTGGATGCGAAAATGGTAGTAGAAAAGTACGCAAAGTAGGCACTTAGTAGGGGAATTCCTTTTGTAAATTCTAATGTATTCGCAGGAAATCTGGTATTTTAAACGAAATGTTGAACGTTATATTGATATATCTACGTGAATTGCGTAATTTATGTGCTATTTAGCTGTATAAAAACTGCAAAATGACTCAAAATTAAAATAAGACTACTATGAGATTGATGTAAACATCCAATTTAAAAAAAGTTTATGTTTTCACCAGTTAAATATGCNGCTTATACTTTTATTTCACACCAAAGCTACACTGTTTCCATGTAAATTTGCAAAGAAGCAACACGGTGCCACTGCTAAGGGAGCGGTGCGAGAGAGACAACTGTCAGTTTATCGAACCTTCTATTATTGAATCATGACGTGATCCAAGTATCGCGATATTTATTGACGGTGTAGCATGCAGTATTGATGGATCGTAATACATATCGCAAAATTTCTAAAAATTTTGAAATCTGGATCGCGGATCGCAATACCGTCAATAAATATTGAACGTCTAGCACTTTCAAAACGCGATCCGTACATTTCGTCAGTATATCTTTTACTCTCATAATGCGAATATCGAAAACGTATTCGCTCTGCCTTCGCTCTAGGTGCTTAAAACCATTCAAAACAAATTGAAAAAATTGTAATTAACATTGGAAATTTTAAAAGAATTATGCATTCCGCATTATCTGTAAATTATTCGTACAAAATAAAAATATTTTCTTGCGTCATAATAAGCGTGCAGCACAAAAATGATGAAAATACTGACGAGATAAATATCGAACATGTAGCATTTGTGCGCGATCCATCAATCTATCAATATGGATCGCGATCCAAATATCGTGATAATTACTCATGAACGAAAGACACAAGATCACGCGGGAAGGAAAGAACGAAAAAAGTTATTTTCTAGCTGCCGAAATCTCGACGCCATCTTTGTTGTAAGAAGTAAACAACGAAGAGAACGGAGAAAACCGCGAAATTGTTGAACGCATGAAAAATCATTTTTATTATGCAAATTCTTCTAAAAATCATGCCGTTGTGTTAAATTATTCTTTATCTTATGTGTACACACGNTTGCAGTAAAAAGCCACCACCAAATTGTAAACAACGAAGAAATGTAAATAAACGGCGATTCTAACGGGCTACTCTCCTGCCCGCGTGATCTTGTCTTTTTGGTTCATGATAATTACTGACCCTGGGTTGTTGTGTCCAAACGCATAATCCGAATCCAAAAACTTTAACATACCCGTGTAATCAAAGGATTCACATTT